AAAGGATAATATAACACATTGAAAAATGAAAAAACAGATTTCTATATATAAGTTATATTGGAACTTTGTCTATACCACGTACTGAAAAATGATGATTCTTATTTGGGAAGTAAATCAAAAGTAGTCTTATTTTCTGCTGCTTTTCTCTTCTTTTTGAGAAAAGAGTCTAATAAATTGAACAGGATAGAGTGCGTGGTGATAAGAATAGATCACAATAATAAGGGATCAAGCGATCCTCCTCTCCAGCTCCAGGTATCTTGACTACGGCATCAACACCATGCCTGGCTAATCTTTTTTTGTCTTCTTTTTTTCTTTTTTTAGTTGTTTGCTTAATCATTTCTATTTTTAGTAGAGACAAGAGTCTTTCTCTTCTCAGGCTGGCTCGACCCCTGAGCTTCAAGCCAATCCTCTCGCCTCCACCTCCAGCAACCGGGCATTAAACAGTAGTTTTTATAGTCCAGATTATAGAAGAAGTAACATTTAAATGTTTAACCTGCATTTTTTATTATTTAAATGCAACATACATGATTATGCACTATGCTTTCTTTTTTTTTTTTTTTTTTGAGACAGAGTCTCCACTTTTTGTCAGGCATAGAGTGAGTGCGTGGCGTCAGCCTAGCTCACAGCAACCCCATCCTGGGCTTAAGCGATCCTGCTTGCCTCAGCCTCCTGAGCTAGACTGGACTACAGGCATGCGCCACCATTGCCGGCTAATTTTTTATATGTATTAAGTTGGCCATTAATTTCTTTCTATTTAATAGTAGAGACGGGTCTCGCTCTTGCCAGGCTGGTTTCGAACTCCTGACCTCGAGCCACTCCTGCCGCCTCCCTCCCAGAGTGCTAGGATTACAGCGCTGAGCCACCCACCCACCATATTATGCTTTCTAATGGCACTTTGTGACAGAAAACAAGAAAGCATGGCTTGGGGCTTTGGTCGAAGAAAGAAGAAAAGTTGGCGGGCGCGCAGTGGCTCCACACTGTATCCTCACACTGAGGCCGAGCGGGCGGATGTCGAGTCAGGATCGAAACTAGCCTAGCAAGACGAACCCGTCATTCTACTCATAAATAAGAAAGAATTATATGGCAACTAATATATAGAAAAAATTAGCCGGGCTGTGGCACATGCTGTGTCCAGCTACTTGGGACTGAGGCAGGAGATTGTTGGCCCAGGAGTTGGGCTGCGGAGCTAGGCTGACGACATGACTGGCCTCATCATAGCCTGACAGACAGCAGACTCCTGTCTCAAAAATATAAAATAAAAATAAAAATAATAAATAAATAAATAAAGGAAGAAAGTTGGCTTGGTGGTTGTGCTGAATTACAGCTACTCATCTCTTTTTTTTTTTTTTTTTTTTTGTTGGAAGAGTCTCACTCTGTTGACCTTGGCTAGAGTGCAATGTGTCAGCCTAGCTCACCAGCAACCTCAAACTCCTGGTTTAGGAGATCCTTCTGCCTCAGCCTCTGGAGTTAGCTGGGACTACAAGGCATGTCCACATGCTCGGCTAATTTTCCTCCTATATTTTTGTTGGCATAATTCTTTTCATATCTTAGTAGAGACGGGTCTGCTCTTGCTCCAGGCTGGTTTTCAAATCCTGACCTTGAGCGATCCTCACCTGCTCGACCTCCTAGAGTGCATAGGATTACGGCGTGAGCCACCTCGCTCGGTCTAATCAGATCTTCTTGAGGCGGGAGTTCGAGCCAGCCTGAGGCAACATAGAAAGCCCCCTGTCTCTATTAAAAAAAAAAAAAAAAGATGAGAGGAGGGTGGGAGAAAGCAGGAGGGGGTGAAATGCATGAATCTTTTAGCCGAGATTACCAAACATTGGGAAGAGAGGGAAAGATTGGAACGCAAAGGGTCCATCCCACTCCCATCTTGTGCCTGGCTGCCTCTTCCGGAAGCTTCTAGTGTAGCTGCCTGATGGACCAGAGGGACTTTCCAGATGCCACCACTGTGACCTATGCATAGGATGCCCGATCCCACGTCGCATGGTTTTGCCTGCAGCACCCAAAGGGCCAGGCCATTGTCATTGCTCTGGAAGAAGAAGATCTGGGACAACAGGTGAGCATTAACCTTTCTGTTTTCTATAGAGTCGGATCTAGCTTTGCCTTCGACTTGGAGGTTAAGCATAGAGTGACCTGAAAGCCATGTGGCTCTTACTGACCAGTTGGCGTTGTATGTGGCTCCAGATTGAGTAGAGCAGGGGTCCTCAAACTTTTTCAACAGGGGCGCATTTGCTGTCCCTCGACCCAGTTGGACGAGTGCGGTGCACTCACACATGCGCACTGTGTGGTCTGGGGAGAGTCAGTTGCTGAGCAGGACATGGCAGCCGGCGAAAAAACGTTGGCGGCCGGGATAAGTCTCGGCGGGGCTGCATGTGGCCCGTGGCGTAGTTGTGACCCTGGAGTAGAGCAACGACTAACACTGAGGACGCCCAGGCGTGCTTCAAGTGCTTTGCCTGTTTAAAATTCATCATCCTCAAAACATCCTATGAGGTCCTTCTCTTACCTCCATTTTACGGAGCAGGAAATGGAGGCATTGAGAGGACAGGAACTTCCTTAGGACTCACACCCTGGCAGTATGCCTCCAGAGTCCATGCTCATGGCCAGGAGTCTCAAACTTTTTGTGAAGAGCCAGAGAGTAAATATTTTGGCTTTGTGAAATACTAGGTTTCTGCCACATTACTCAATTGTGCACAATATGTAAGCATCCATAGATAAACTTTAATGAACATACTATGTTCCTTTTTTTTTTTGAGACAAGATCTCACTTTGTTCCAGGCTAGGCAAGTGCATGGTATCAGCCTAGCTCAACAGACACTCAAGACTCTGGGCTCATAGCGATCTCCTGCCTCAGCTCCGAGTAGCTGGGACTACAGGCATGTGGTCACCATGGCCTGTATTTTTTTACTATATAATTTTTTAGTTTGCAATTAATTTCTTTTATTTTCAGTAGACGACAGGGTCCGCATCTTGCTCAGGTGGTTTCGAATTCCTGACCTCGAGCATTTGCTCATGGCAAAGTAAGCGTAGGATTACAGTGTGAGCCATACGCCCGGCAGAAGAACTTTTTTGACCAGAATTTGTCCAGGACTGTGCTATTCCCCAGGCATGAACATCTGACTATATTCTCCCTTAAAAGGTCACAAGACAAGCGGAGCTGTTCATGGCAG